TCTCATATTGCAAAATATAATCATTCCTTCTCAACAGTTCTCCAAAGTCTTATTTCAACATTAATGCAAAAGTCCAAAGTATCATCTGAGACAAGGCTAGTTCCTTCTGTATATGAGCCTTAAAAATCAAAAACAAATCAGTAATGTCCAAGATACAATGGTGGTGTAGGCATTAGGTAAATACTTCCTTTCCAAAAGAGAGAGATTGGCCAAAACAAAGGGGCTAAAGGTGCCATGCAAGTCCAAAACCCAGCAGGGAAGTCTTTTATATATATGTATATATATATACATATATATATTTTTTTTTTTTTGAGACGGAGTTTCGCTCTTGTTACCCAGGCTGGAGTGCAATAGCGCAATCTTGGCTCACTGCAACCTCCGCCTCCTGGGTTCAGGCAATTCTCCTGCCTCAGCCTCCTGAGTAGCTGGGATTACAGGCATGTGCCACCGTGTCCAGCTCATTTTTTGTCTTTTTAGTAGAGACGGGGTTTCACCATGTTGACCAGGATGGTCTCGATCTCTTGACCTCGTGATCCACCTGCCTCGGTGGAAGTCTTTATATTTTTGTTGTTGTTGTTTGTTTTAGTTTTTGTTTTTTGAGATGGAGTCTTGCTCCGTCACCCAGGCTGGAATGTAGTGGCTCAATCTCGGCTCAGAGCTCGGCTCACTGCAACCTCCACCTCCCAGGTTCAAGCGATTCTCCTCCCTCAGCCTCCTGAGTAGCTGGGATTACAGGTGTGCACCACCATGCCTGGCTAATCTTTGTGTTTTTAGTAGAGATGGGGTTTCACCATGTTGGTCAGGCTGGTCTTGAACTCTTGATCTTGTGATCTACCTGCCTCAGCCTCTCAAAATTCTTGGATTACAGGTATAAACCTCCATGCCCAGCCCAATCTTTAAATCTTAAAGCTCCAAAATAATCTCCTTTGACTCCATGTCTTACATCCAGGCAACAATAACGCAAGGGGTGAGCTTCCAAAGCCTTGGGCAGCTTCGCCCCTGTGGTTTTGTAGGGTAATGTCCCTGCAGCTGCTTTCACAAGTTTGCATTGAGTGCCTGCAGCTTTTCCAGGTGCACAGTGCAAGCTGTTAGTGGATCTACCATTCTGGGATCTGGAGGACAGTGGCCCTCTTCTCCCAGCTCCAGTAGTCAGTGCCCCAGGGAGCACTCTGTGTGAAGGCTCCAACCCCACATTTTCCCTCTACCCTGCTCTAGTAGAGGTTCTCCATGAGGGCTGTGCTGCCACAGCAGACTGCTGCCTGAACATCCAGGCCATTTCCTTATATTCTCTGAAATCTAGGTGTTGGCTTCTAAGTCTCAACCCTTGCCTTTTGTGAACCTGCAGGCTTAACACCATGTGGAAGCCAACAAGGCTTACGGCTTGCACTTCTGAAGCAGTGGCCTGAAATGTGTATGTAGCTTTTTTAGCCGCAGTGGAAGCTGTAACAGCTGGGATACAAGAAGCAGCGTCCCAAGGTTGCACAGGGCCGTGGGCCCTAAGCCTGACCCTTAAAACCAATTTTTTTCTCCTAGGACTCCAGGCCTGTAGTGGGAGGGGCTGTCATAAAGTTCTCTGAAATGCCTTCAATTCATTTCCCTCATTGTCTTGGCTATTAAATCCAGCCAGGAATCGCAGAATACACTTTCCCCTCAAGTGCATATGGGACATTCTTTAAGGTAGATCATACAAGGCCATGAACAAAGCTACAATACATTTAAAAGGATTGAAATCATACAAAGTATGTTGCCTATATATAATGGAATAAAATTGTAAATAATAACAGAAGGAAATTTTGAAAATACAGAAACATACAAAAATTAAACAGTATATTTAGATAGCCAAAAAGTCAAAAAATAAATCATAGGGCAAATTAGAAAACATACTGAGATAAATGAAAACAAAAACATAACGTGTCATAAGTTATGAAATGCAGCTGAATTTGTAAGAGTAAAGTCCTATATTAAGAAAAATCTCAAATTAATGACTTAACTTTTTACCGTAAAAAGCAGAAAAAAGAAGGGAAAACTAACCGCAAACTAACAGAAGGAAAGATAAAATTAAGATTAGGATAAAAATAAATTAAATAGAGATTAGACATAGAAGTTAAAATTAAATAAGACTAAAAGTTGGTTCTTTAGACAAAATAGTAAAACTGACAAATTCTTAGCTAAATTGTCCAAGAAAACAGAAAGAAAACGTAAATGACTAAATTTAGTAATGAGAGACCATTACGAACAGCCTTATAGAAACAGAAAGAATTATACGAGACTACTCTGAACAATATATGCCAACAAATTAGATAACATAGATAAGAAGAACAAATTTCTGGAGAAAGAGAAGCTACCAACATTTATTCAAGAATTTGAGAAATCTGAATAGATCTATAACAACTAAAGAAATTGAATAAATAATCAGAAACCTTCTCATAAAGAAAAGCTAAAGACCAAACAGCTTTACTGGTAAAATCTATCGAATGTTTAAAGACAAATTAACACCAATTGTTCACAAAAGTCTTTGGAAAAAAAAAAATGCTCCAGAAAATTTGGAGCACACCCCAATTTGTTCTGGAAGGGCAGCATTACTCTGATACCAGAATTAGAAAAAGAAATAACAAGAAAACTACAGACCAATATTCCTTATAAATATAGATATAAGAAAATAGAAGCAAACTGAATTCAGCAACATGTCAAAAGGATTATATACCATAACCAAGTGGAATTTATTTCAAAAATGCACTGTTGGCTTAATATCCAAAAATTAATTAATACAAAATACCAAGTTAATAGAATGAAGGGTAAAAAAGCATTATGAGCATCTTAATAAACACAGAAAAAATTGACAAAACTTAACACTCTTTCATGATAAAAGCACTCAACAAAGAATAGAAGAGAAATTTCTCAACCTGATAAAGGGAATCTACAAAAATAACTACAAGTGACATCATATTCAGTGGTGAAAGACTAAATAATCTCACTACATCTACCTACATCTGTAATATTAACATTGTACTAGAGGTTCTAACCAAGGCAATTAGGCAAGAAAAGGAAATAAAAAAAAAACAGTAAAACTGTCTAGATGGAAAAAGAAACAGTAAAACTACCTTCATTCATAGATGGCAAAAATCTCGCATATAGGAAACCACAAAAAAAATTGAAACTAATAAACAAGTTAATCAAGTATTAAGTCAATATACAAAAATCAATTGTATTTCTATGCACAAGGAATAAAATTCCCAAACAGAAATTAAGAAAAGAATTTTCCTCATAATCACAAAAAAGTACAAAATATTTGGTATACATTTAACAAAAGAAAGGCAAAACTTTTATACTGAAAGCAACAAAACGATGTTAGATGAAAATTAAATAAAACCTAAATAAATAGAAAGACAGATTAGAACTTAATATCATTTAGATGGCTGCATTCCCTACATTAATGTACAGATTTGACACAATCCCTACTAACATGCCAGTTGCATTTACTGTAGAAATTGCTAAGTTAGTTCTAAAATGCATATAGAAATTCAAGGAACTCATGATGGCTAAGACAATCTTGAAAAAGGAGAACAAAGTTTGAAAATTCACACTTCTTGATTTCAAAACTTACTACAAAGTCACAGTAATCAAGATGGTGTGCTACTGATATAGGAAAAACATATAGATCAATGGGATAAAATTGAGTTCAGAAATAAGCCATTTTAGTGAATTTATTTTTTACAAAGATGTGAAGACAATGAATCAGGAAAAGAATCACGTTTTTAACAAATGATACTGAGACAACTGAATATCCAGATGCAAAAAAATAAAATAAAATTACACTTCTACCTCACACTGTATAATAAAACTAATTCAAAATGAACCAAAGACCTAAATGTAAGGCATAAAACTCTTAACAGAGTTCTAAATTTTTGTGATGTTGGGTCAGGGAACGCAGGTTATGTCTTTTGTTGTTGTTGTTGTTGTTGTTATGATATCAAAAACAAAAGCAACAAAAGGAAAAGAATGGCAAATTAAATTTCACTTAAATTTGAAACTTTTGTGCTTCAAGTGACACTGTCAAGAAAATGTAAAGGCAACGCATAGAAAAGGTAGAAATATTTGCAAATTATGTATCAAATAAGAGACTAGCTTCTAGAATATATAAAATTTCACAACTCAAAAACAAAAGAACCTAATAATAAAAAGTCATATATTATATAAATCTATTTATATAAAATATCCAGAAACAGAAAGAAGATTAGTGGTTGCCAGGTACTTGGGGGAGAGGGAGGGAGAATGTCTGCTAACAGGTACACTGTTTCTTTGAAGGTTGTTGAAAATGTTCTCAAATTAGATAGTAATAATGGTTGTATACCTCTGTAAATGTATTTAAAATGATTGAATTATATACTTTGAGAGGATAAAATGTATGCTATCTGAATTATATCTTAATAAATCTATTATAAAAAGGGCTGCAAATAACATCCTTCCCCATGTCTCTCAGTGCATCAATTGTATACATGTTTATACACTCTATGGACCTACAATTGGAAATTCTGAGTTGTAGATTTTCAGTTTTGCTAGAACTTGAAACATTGCTCTACAAACTAGTTTTATGCATTTATAATTCCACCAGTCATGTGAGAAAGTTCAAGTTTCTTTTATCTTTGCCAATATTTGAAATTATCAATTTTTTTGTTATTTTTACTTGTATTTTAGTACTTTTAACTTAGTTGGGAAATAATATTTCAGTGGTTTGCATTTTCATAACTTCAAGTAAGATTAAAATCTTGTAAAATATTTATTGCCCATTCAGTTTTCCTTTTCAGTGACTTTTCTATTCTTATCCTTTGCGCAGCTTCTATTGGACTTTGGTCAGCAGAACTACCTTTCAGTGCTGGTAACACAGAAACCAGAAACTTCCCTGCCCCTCAATAGTGACAGGTGAGAATTAGCAGCCACTTGGGCATGCCAGAACGTTCTACCACATTCATTACAGAATGGAATCTTTGAAATATATGGTTGCCATGACAAGTGACAACATTTCAAAGGATTTGCTTAGTTGGTAACTATCTAGAGTATTTTACCTTTGGCTAAGAGGTAATATACTAGAATTTCTATTCACAACTTTATCTCATCAGTGATTACAGAGAAGTTGAAAATATGTAAGTGAATTTCTATTAATATTTCAGTCAGTCAAAAGCTTTTCTTTTTTTCTAATCCTGACCACTTTTTAAAATTTTTGTTCTGTTAAGAGAAAGAACTATGAATATATTAGAAAATTATATTACTATAGGCCCTTATCCGGAAATCTTGCCAAATTTGCCAATTGAAAGAATTCGTCTTTGTCAATTAATCTCCCAACTTCATACCTTACTAGTAAGGGTTCTCTTATTAGTAAGGGTCAGAGAAACCACAACTATATAGATAAATATATTTATTATAAGATATCAGTTTACACAGCAATAGAAGCTAGGAAGTCCCAGATTCTACTTTCTGCAAGACAGAGAGCAAGAAGATCCAGTGGTGCAGTTTGAAGGCCTGAGAGCAAGACAGTTGATAATAAAAATTCCAGCCTGGGTCTGAGGACCTGCCAACCAGAGCAGTGAGGACAGCAGATCAGTGTCCCAGCTCAAGTAGAAAACTAAGCATTCTTCTGCCTTCCTGTCTTGTTCAGGCCCTCAATAGATTGAAAGATGCTGACCCACATTAGGGAGTGTCATCAACTATACTCAGAACACCAATATAAATGCTAATCTCTTTTGGAAATACCCTCACAGACATACCCCAGAATGTTTACCAGATATCTGGGCATCCTACAGCTCACTCAATTTGACACATAGTATTAACTAACCATCATGAGTTCCCACTTTGAAAATTTGGCACCCATATATCTCCTTAAGCCATATTTGATCTCCAAATAAAGTCAATAACAAGCTGAAAATTCCATCTAACATGTAACTATGTAACATATGTCCTGCATACAACTAAAAATGCACTAAACCCTTCTCAGAGGAGGAGATAAAGTCCCTCTGTAAGGTTTACTCTCTTCCTTAATGTCCTGTAACTTAAATACTATGATGTAACATTAACAATACTTACATACTAGAATATGAAGTCAATGCATTTTATGCTATGTGATAAGAGAATAAGAAAAAAATGTGATATCTAATATATACCCACAGAAATGTATTTAGAAAAAAAATAAGAGGAAATGCTCATAATAATTACAGTCCTCATTTCTGCACTGATCACAGCATCATAATTGGTATTTTTAAATCCCTTTTTTCTACTACCCATTCTGTAGTTCCTTTGCTTTCATTAAGCACCTCAGCTGGTTGTGGTTCTTTAAATACTAAAATGACCCAAAAAGGTCTGGGTCATTAGTAGTCCCACCTTGATTTGATGGTTGTAGTTTTCCATTGATCTTAGTTACAGGACACAGTAATACTAAGAGACACACTAAGGGATACTTCTTATTGCAGACACTTATCCTTACCTACACTATGGAATAGTAGTCCAATTTCTCTTTGGTAGTCTGGGTCAGTCAATCCAGCCAGCACCATAACTCTCTTCTTAGCCTATTGACTCAGAAGCACAAAGAGACCAAGATGGCCAGGTGGCAGTCTTAACTTCTAGTTCAACTGAATTATTGTTGTGTCTCCTGATGGAAGAATTCTTCCCTCCAGAACAGAGATCTCTAAGCCAGCAGAACATAATGTCACAGGAACAGGAAGCTACTGGGTCACTAAGGATATTAGTGAGTGGTGCAACTCCTATTTTTACCACTTAATTCCTAGACCCAGGAATCCTGGTTATGGGAGAAATAGCACTATAAATTGAACATATTCAGAACATATTCAGTTTTCTGGAGAACCTTGCCCCAGCCCTTCCAGGTACTGACACCTAGCTGGTAATGTAACTGAGTCTTCAAAAGGTCATTCCACCATTCCATCAAACAAGTGGCTTTAGGATGGTGGGGAACACAGTAAGACTAGTGAATTCCATGAGCATAAGCCAACTGCCTCACTTCTTTTGCTGTGAAGTGAGTTCCTTGATCAGAAGCAATGCTGTGTGGAATAACATGATGGAGGATAAGGCATTCTCTAAGTCCATAAATAGTAGTTTTGGCAGAAGCACTGCATGCCCAGAAGGCAAATCCCATCCAGAATAAGGGTCTATTTCAGTAAGGACAAAATGTTTCCCCTTCTGCGATGGAAGCAATCTAATGTGATCAACCTGCCACCAGGTAGCTGGCTAATCACTCTGGGCTATATCAAGGACTCAGTGTTTTTCTCTGCCACTGGTATATTGGGCACTCAGTAGTGTCCATAGCTAGGTTATTATTGATAAATCAAAGTCCATGCTGCTGGACCCATACATAACTTCCATCCCTGCCACTATGGTTACTTTTCTCATGAGCTTATTGGGTGACAACAACAGTGGCTGGAGAAATAGCCTAAATGGTATCTACATAATGGGTCATCCTATCCACTTGATTATTCAAATAATCCTCAGCTGAGATCACCCTTTGGTGAGTATTCATATGGAACACAAATATCTTCAAACTTTTTGCTCATTCAGAGATGTCTATCCACATATCTCTTTTTCAGATTTCCTCATCATCAATTTTCCAATCAGATTCCTTCTAAGTTTCTGACCATCTAGGAAAATCATTGGCCACAGCCCATGAATCAGTATATAATTAAGCATCTGGCCATTTCTCCTTCCAATCAAAGTTAAAAATTAGGTTCAGTGCTTGAAGTTCTGCCTATTGGGAGAATTAAACTGCCTGAGATTGTGCCCACTGCGAGTATTTCTCTTGACCATTGTCCTTCAGAGATGTCCCAAATGGGGACTGTAGGGATACAGTCATTCACTTTCAAGTTGTGCCTGTATATTATGCAGAGCCATCCATAAACCAGGCTGAGTGTTTTCTTCCTCTATCAATTGATCATAGGGAACTCCCCATGAGGCCATAGTTGCAGGCTAAGAAAGAGAAGGCGGAGTTGCAGGAGGAAGGATCGTGGGCTTTTGGCTACTTCTTTATGTAATTTATTTGTACCTTCAAGACCAGCTCAGGCCTGATCACACATATATATCACTTCCAGTTGATGATCAACTACTGCTGTGCACACCCAACTTCATGGCTTGGTGGACTGAATAACACCCAATTCATGTTGATCAGTTCAGGACACATGGTAACTTGGTGTCACATGGTCAAGCATTCAGTCTCTACTAAGGCCTAGTACCATGCCAAGGGCTGTTTCTACAAAAGACTAATTATCTGAAGAAGACAGTAAGGCTTTGCTACAAAAATCCTGGGGGCTTGCACTTCAATTCACCTGTAGGGACCTGCCAAAGCCTCCAAAGAGTATCATTATCTGCCACTGATGTTTCAAGCACCATTGGATCTGCTGGATTCTATTGTCCAATACCAGAGCAGACTGTACAGCAGCCTGGGCCTATTTCAGAGTCATCTTCTATTATGGGCTCCATTCAAATTAGCAGCTTTTAAGGTCACTTGGTTAATGGGTTGGAGTTACACACCCAAATGAGAAATATGTTGCCTAAAATATATAGAGGATCATTGGGTATTCTGCTTCTTTTTGAATTTGAGGAGGTGTCAGATGCAACAAGTTACCTTTCACCTTAGAAGGGATATCTCAACATGCTCCACACTACTGGACCCCTAGAAATTTCACTTAGCTTCACAAGGGTCAGACTATTTTGACTGCTGCTTTGACTTTTTGTCATTCATTAAGGCAACCACTCATCTTTCCATTGGCTGTTGAGCTTGCCCCTTTGCCCCTGCCACTCTGAAATCCAATTATTCTCATCACATTTACATTTCCCTATTCAGTGGCTGCAATTTCCACTAGAGAAGAGTTTGATCTGTAGAGAAGAGCAAGCACAGAGCTCCTCAAGGATACTGAAACTTCCCTCACAAATTGCTTGCTATAGTGGTGAAAGGTGTGTCTTCTGGACACTCCCAATGCGAGGGACTAGGTCTTAAGTGACAAATTTACTGTACCATTCTAATCTCCCTAAGCCTTTGAATACCTTTTCTACATTAAGCCAAGGCAGTTCTGGCATTTTTAACTTTCTCCTCGTGGGCCACTTTTTGTCCGTGTTTTAGCCAATCAACCAAACAAGTAGTCAGAGCCATTTCTATCTCCCTGAGCTGCACCATTAAATGCAGAATCTCTGCTTAGTGAGCCCATATCAGTAAATTTGGCCTAATTCAACTTTTTGTTCCTTCCACCATTATCCTAGACCTTTAATATCCATACTACTCTGGTCCCCTGGATTTCTGCTTGTAGTAATAAGAAAACTCAAATCATTCTTTTGGAGTATAGCACATTTCCTCATGGATCACACTTTGTACCTAAACTTTAGGGACCTTCTGGAACTTGAATCTAGTTATAAGTCTAGAAGCAAAGAAAAGTGGTGGAAGTGGGTCCCCTGAAAAGAATCGGCATTGTCTTGCTTGGCAGGGGAGGCAATTAGTTTCCTCTGGCAATGTAGGGTAGACACACACACACACACACACACACTACCAATTATTTTTTCAAGGGGAAAATTTTAGATCTGTCATAAAATTTCTTTCTTTATGTATTTAATCCTGTGATAATTTTTAAGATACTTCTGCTAAAGCAAAGTCTTTGATAGGGTAGGCTAGTAACACATTTACTAAAATGGGAGATACTCAAAAACAGCCAGGAAAGTACTCCAGTTATGAAATAACAGCTGAATTGTATGGAAATATGACATATCTGGAATAGGGCTTTTGTTCACAGGTTTGGACCCAGCGATACCTCCCTGGGTAGATGACTGATGCTTTTCCTGGGTGATAGGAATGTGAGGAAAGCAAGGTGAGTAGCTTAGATGGAGACAGGGGAATGGAATGCACTCACTAAGTAAAGCTGCTTCCGTTCTGGTTTTGAACCAAAGATAAGCTGGTGAAGCTGAATTAAACAAGAATCACACAAACAAGCTGTTGTTGCATGCAGGTGGACCAGGGTGAACGAGGCCAGTTCTGCAGTAGCTCTAAAGCTGCCAGGGTGGAATAACTGGGGGAAAACAGAGCTAAAAGAGCAAATTTACATGTACAATGCTGGATCAAGAGGAGAATTCCTCCAAATGTCAGTTCAGAATATTTGACAGTGCAATATTTGATTCGGAAGTAGCCCATCTTATTCTAATGAGCAATAATTCTGAAAGAATCAATACAGAATGTAAACAAAGATTTTACAAGAAAAAAGTAGAAAAGTAATAAGATCGATGACAATTAAAAACTGGAAAAATATCAAACAGACGAAAAACTTTTTTAAAATTCAATGGAGTTATTTTATCTATAAAATGTGATCTCAAAGGAGAGATATAAGAATTTAGTAAAGAAATGGTGCAGTTCAGGAAAAAAGTAGAGTGTTAAAAATACTCTGAAAGGGCCAAAAAAATGTTGAAAACAGTGCATAGAAAATGAATACTGCTAAAAATCTGGTAAGGTCGCATATTCTCACTCATAGGTGGGTGATGAAAAATGAGAACACATGGACACAGAAAGGGGAGTACTAAACACCGGGGTCTATTGGGGGGAAAAGGGGAGGGCCAGTGGAAGGGGGAGGTGGGGAGGGATAGCCTGGGGAGAAATGCCAAATGTGGGTGAAGGGGAGAAGAAAAGCAAAGCACACTGCCATGTGTGTACCTATGCAACTGTCTTGCATGCTCTGCTCATGTACCCCAAAACCTATAATCCAATAAAAAATTTAAAAAAAAAAAAAAAAGATTTTTAAAGGGAAAAAAAAATCTGGTAAGGCTAATTAAGGACCAGACTGAAGTAAACTAGAAAGATTTTTGAAATTAGATAAAATATAAGTATAACTGATATCACTAAAGAAGAGAGCCAAAACAATAGAAGAAAATATGTAAATAGATTTTAATAAAATGTTCCATTAACATAGATTCAAAAGCAGGCTATGTCCCTATAAAAATCAAGTCAATCGATAATTAGCTCTTTCCTTGTAAAGTTACTTAGTTTCAAAAATAAAAATTTCAAAGAATCCTTTGGAAATCCAGAGAGAAAAAAAGAGATTCATTTGATCAATATAGGAGAAAAAAAAAAAGTAACTAACCCTAGCCTTTTCCACAACAATGCTAGATGATAATGAAACAATGTCTGCAAAATCCCTATAAAAACATTATACCTCAAGAATATTATATGCAGAGAAACTTTAACTCAGTGTAATAGTTTTAATGTGAAAAAAAATCAAGGAATATGATTCTCATGAGTCTCTCCTAAATAAAGTCAAAGACAATGAACTTTAGCTCAACAAGATATGAATGGAGAAAGTCTGGCAATATGAACAGAATCTATTTAGATGAGGGGCTAAGACATGAAAGAAATAGGATTATTCTTACAGAACTGAATATAAATTTTACACATCTTGAAAGTATAAAAATGATATAGCTAATAACAATTATAACAAAAATAAAAGATAAGGGGAAAGTTCATAAACACATTGATTTCATTTTTTAAACCTAGGTGTTATTAAAGTAAACAAGTACTATAAATACAACTGCATAAACGTTTCACTAAGTAATTAAATCAACTAAAATTGTATGAGGAGTGACAGAGGGAGAAAATAGAAATGAACTAATTTCATCTTTGCTCATAGTGGGGAATCAACAGATTCTGTCTAAAGTTTTGAGGAATAAATTATTATAAGAAGTTATTATAATCCTAAGCATCATTACAACAGGAATATAAACTTTTATTAAAGAAACACACAAAAACACCACATCACACCCATTCAAAGTAAGGGGAAAAACACCAAATAATAAAATATTTAAAGATACCAACAACAAAAACACATACAAAATATAGTGACAAAATCTGTTATGTAATAAATGACAATGGATTGAACTCATGTAGAATGAGAAAGAAATATGGTAAAATTACCAATAAAGTCCAGCAATAAGCTACATACTAGAAGCACTTAGAAAACAAAGTATCTCAAAAAGATTGCAAATAAACAGATGGAAAAAAGGTATACCAAAAAAATGTAAACAAACACAAAGTAGGTGTTGGGATTTTAATGCAGACAAACTTGAATTTCAGGCTTTAAATTCAGCTTTACGGCAGTGAATGTGATTTTTTTTTTTTCAAAAATGCATCACATTATGAGAAAGTTTATAATCCATTATGATAAAATAATTATGAAAATCTATGCGGTAAGAAGAATTCTAAGATGGCTCCCAATATTCTTGTCCCCCTAGTATCCATGTCTTGTATCAATCCCCCACCTGAAGCTGAAATATTAAGAAAGGAAGATTATGGGATGAAGCTCTGAATATGATGGGAAATCATTCTCATGATTATGTTATATAACATGGAAGAAGGAATTGTACAGCTATAATTAAGGTTACTAATCAGTTATCTTTGAGTCAAAGGAAGAGTATTTCAGTGGTCTGACTTACTCACATGAGCCTATTAAGTCTGGGTCTGGAGGTTGGAGACAGAAGTCAGAGATTGGTAGTGTGAGATGGCCTCTGGAATGGGTCACATGGCAAGAAACTGCAGACAGCTTCTAGATGCTGAGTGTTACCCTCAGCCACAGCCTGAAAAAGAATAGAGTCTTTAATCTGACAGCCTCAAACAACTGAATTTTGCCAACAATCTAAGTGACCTTGAAAGAGAACTCTGAAACTTAAATGAGATAGCACTCCCAGGTGACATCTTGAGTCCAGCTGTGTGAGACCCTGAGCAGACTACACTAAACTGAGACTTAACCTTCTGACCTACAGACACTGAAAAAATAAGTAGGTATTTGCAAGCCATTAAATTTGTGATAAATTGATGCATAGCTATAGATAATTAACACAATCCTCATACTATAGTATACCATAGTACCATCCAAATTGATAGAGCAAAACAAAACTATAGGAAAGTTTCTGGTTTATGTACTAATACATGGTACTTTTTTGTAGCATTAGTAATGGAAGACTTTAATTCATCTGTCGACATGTCAACCAAGAATCCAAAAACAGGTAACGCTTTTAGGACATAATAGATAGCAATAGGAGGAGGTATTTTTGTGTCTACGTGTTTGTATGAGTGACAGATGACAGAAAGAATCCTGTACATCATTCTGTATCCATGATAAAAAAGAATGTACCTTTTTTCCCCCAACACCTGTAGAACATTTACAAAAGTAACCATATGTTAGGCTAGAAATTTCTGTATAAATTCCTAAAAGTAGAAATAGAAGAGATATTCTGATTACAATGCAAAAAAATTAGAAACTAACAATTAATTCATAAAACAAGTGAAAAACAACCTACCACTTGTCAAATAAATTTTCTATTTTAAACAATGTATGGATCAAAGAAAAAAATTAATAAGTAATTACAGAGTATTGATAATACCACATATCAAACCCTATAGTATACAACCAAAGGGGTCACAGAGAAAAATTCATAGCCTTTAATATTGAGAAAAATAAACCAGAAAAGAACAAGAATGTAATGAAATCAAGTATTCAAAGCAAGAAGTTATAAAAATAAAACAAAATAAATCTAAGAAAATGACACATATAAAGTTGAATGTTTAAATTCAGGAAGAGAAAAATAGTAGGACTAATAAATAAATTCAAAATCTTGTATTTTGTTCATAATGAAACAGGCACTCTAATATTTTCCCCAAAATCTATATTCCCACTCTAATTATGTGAAAAGCAATCAAATAAATCCAAATTGAGGTACATGTGACAAAATACCTAACCAGTGCTCTTCAAAACTGTCAAGGTCATAAGCAAAGAAAGATTGCTAAACTGTTAGAGACCAGAGGAAACCAAGGAGACATGCTGACTAAATGCAACATGAAATCCTGGACCAGGTCCTAGAACAAGAAGAGTATATTAGTGGAAAAATAGGTGAAATCCAAATAAAGTCTGAATTTTAGTTAAAGTAATTGTAGTAATGTTAATTTCTTAATTTTGAAAACATGTGCTATGATTATGTAAGATGTTAGTTAACATTGGTGGGAACTGATTGAAGGATATATGAGAATTTACTGTCATTGCAACTTCCCTATAGATCTGAAATATTCCAAAGTAAAAAGTTTATTATTTAAAAAAAACAAAGAAGATCTAGAAAATCTAAATATAACAACTAAAAAACGACACAAAATAATTATCAAAGGGCTACCTCCTCCAAACAAGCAAAGAAAAACGTATCAGGCTCTAAAAATTTCATAAGGCAATTTATCAATCATTTCAGTAACTGATAATTCTACTTCTAATTAAATTATTTTGATAACATTAAAAGATTTAAAAGCCCCTCATACTCTTTCCCATGAAGTTATAATTCAAACAAAATTATATTTTCCTTTCTGATTTTAATTTATGCATTTATTTCTATTTTTAAATGATATTTGATGATACTTCCAGAAATGGTAAATGGCAGTAGTAATGATAATCTTTATTGTATTCTATACCTTAACAAGAATGCTTCTAATTATTTTTTAATTACACCTGGTACTGACTTAACTATCACATTAAGATATGAACTACATATCCATCGTATTTTTAAATGTTATCAAGTTTATATTTAAAATCTTATGAATTTTGAACTCAAAAATTATTTTGTAGGGTTTCTTCTTTGGTGATTATAGATTCTGTTTTATTGAACCACCCTCTGTGTAATAAATACTACTTGGGTATAGTGTTTTAATCTTTTAATGTGCTGCCACAGTCCGCCTGCTAATCTTTTTGTTAAGTGTTGTCCAGTAATACTCATAGGAAATGTGTCTATAGTTTTAGTGCATGTGTACATGTCCTTGTTGAGTTTGACATCAAGGTCATAGTAACTTCAGGTTTGGAGATAAGGTCCCATTAAGATGATAAGAGGCTATGCTCATTCCCTTTTAACTAGTCTCCTTCTTTCTGGCTAGAGACTAATCTCCAGATTCTGCAATATGGTATGAAATGGTATCACATGGTAAGTGATATTCTATAAAGATGTCAACATAACTAAAATCTCTTGGAAAAAATTAACTTTTTACTGTCTCCATTATAAGGATGTTACAAGTAATGTTTAACATACATGTGTGAGGTAGAAAGGGGGAAAATAGTCAATTGGTTAAAAATTGTTTTTACCCTGTATGTTCCTGCACCATAATTTCTTCCTCACTTTCTCCTGCTCCTGGAAATGACCTTCAGTACTAATTTAAAAGGGTGAAACATTTTACCCATCCTACTACTTATCCCACCCACCCTCCATCAACTGACTGGTCTCTAGGATAGTCTCCTCACTCATATTTTCCCTTCCATCATCACTGTGGAAACTCTTTCCACCAAATTGAAGCCCTTTCTACATAGCCTCTGATTATATTATTTCCTTATTTGAGAACCATTCTAAGTTTGAATTTTTCCTTTTCCATTTATCTTATTGTTTTCTACGCCTTTGGCAGATTTCTTGTCTTTGATCTCTTGAGAGCAGAGATTGCGATTATTCATCTTTGAGTTCCCTGCGTGTGTAGCAGAATATTGTCTTAGTGGATATTCATTCAGTAGTTTTTCAAAATTGTATTAAAATTATGAACCTCTAATAGACTACCATTATTTTAATTTACATCCAAATTAACACACAATAAATAGTGGAGGACTATCATAAGAAAATATGTAATCTTCTCTCTTTAGAAAAGAAATGCTTCAGTGTGGATATTAAAACTTTTCTAGACTGTTTCTTCATAATCCATAGGTCAAAGTCACCAATAACTAAAGCAAAACATTGATAATGTTTAGTGGACAAATTGATTTTCCAGTCAGGACATAAGGAGAGTCATTAATAAAACCACATTCTATTAAACAAGGTCTTTTAATCCTTTCCCATTTGCATAATCCAAGGTCAGAGAGATGCAGTTTAGAATTTCACTCATTCAGTAGCTCATTCATTTATTCAACAAATATTTATTGAGAGTCTGCTACACATTAAATATTATGCTCTCCTTTTGAGAAACAAAGTAGAATAAAATCCAAATACTAGCCCCAAATTGCTTATAATCCAATGGGAGAGATTTTTTAAATTCAGCAGTTAGAAACTGCTATAAGTTATGAAGAAGTTACAATATTCAGAAAATGATAGAAGTACATTAGAAGGCACATTCAAATATGACTTTGGGCCAGAGAAGATTTGAGCTGAACTTTGAAGCATGAGTAGAATGTCTAGATGAAGGTGCAGTACATTCCAGGAAGCGGAAACAGCACCTGTAAAGTCATGGAGAAAGAAAAAGCAACATACATTCATAGAATTATAGATTTTAGCTATGGTTTTCCAGGAAGCAGACTGTAAAATAACAGTGGATGTGCTCTTTGGATCAACACCTGGATTAATAGTGGAGGCAAAGTGTAAGAAGCAGAATTGGGTACAAGGAGGTGTTGAACTGCAATGCACTTGCAAAACAGGTATCAGCGACTTCTGCAGGGTGCTCTGTAACTGGGCCTTTCATGCCAGTTGACCCTCTTTGAGGCAAGGAGGCTTGGTCTTTATTTCCCCATGTCAACTAATCATTAAATGTAGTTTGCCCCCAGAGAGGGGATATGATGTTAGATAGGGAGGCTCTTTCGCTAAGGGAATTCTAAAGAATACTTATCTAAGAGCTCTCAGCTGCCAACACTTCCACAAGCTGAAGAAAGAGTATTTCAATATTGAAATGGAGAGGGGTGGTCTAAACAGAACCCCGCAGCATCCATCTAAGACAAAAAGTGTATCTAGAATGAAGACTAGTAGAGAGGAAATGATAGGAGTTGTGGCTAGAGAGGTAAGCACAGACTTAGTCATGAAAGTTCCTTAAAGCTTTGCTAAAAAGTTCAAAACAGTGGGGACTTATTTAATCAGGAGAGTGGTGTCGCTCCAACAAAATTACAGACGATGAAATGCAAAGAGACTCATTATTAATAAGTAACAACAGACATCTGAGTTGAAGGGTATAATTGAGGGCTGGTGGCTGTCGGGAACCCCTGCACATGGGTCCAGTGGGCTTGTGTTTCAAAAGTCAAAAACAACAACAACAAAAACAAAACACAGCACAGTGGGGATCTTCCAGAACGTGTAGCTGGGCCTTAAAAGTGACACTCCCCTAGTGGATTGAGTTCTTCATCAGCAGGGCTGTTAGAGGCACCACCTGCTGGGTCAGAATGAATCACGAACAGGAAGGTGACAATAAATTATTTCACAGATGAACAAAAAAGTAAAAATATTTCCCTTAATTCATCAGCCACCCACAACTCCACAGATACAAAGACATGGAAGATGGGAAAGGGTACAGAGTACAGAGGTATGAGAGAGGGAAATCCCTTTTCCATTCCAATGATAGTAAAAATAGCTAAAACTTATCTAGTACCTATAACATGTTAGGCGTGCTCTAAGTGCTTTAAATGAATAACTCATTTAATCCCACAGCAGTCCTATGGGGTAAATACTATCTTGAAAATGGGTAAACAGAGGCAGAAAGTGACCTGCTCATGGTCACATAGCTAGCAAGTGGCAGAGCCAGGCTATAAACTCAATCCTGGCTGCAGAGTTGCTAGTCTAAGCACCAAGTTATACTGTGTTTACCCTAAAACCAAAATCCTTGCCTGCTCTAGGGATCAAGGCAGACTTTTGAACAAACAATAACATTGAACATTTTAAATAAACAGGATTCAGTATTAACAATAAAGATGACACTGTATTAATAACCAAAAGAGATGGAGAATTTATGAAATCAGACTTAGAATAGTCCATAAGGGAGACAGCCATCAATCAGAAAAAGATAGGACAAGGAAGTTGGCTGAGAAGAGGGACAGAGCACAGTGGCAGCAGTTATAGGAAAACATAGAACCAAGTCATATTCAAAAAAGTGTCATTAACATTCCTATCTCGCATATCCTATTGCTAGGAAGATGCACGGGAAAGCAGTAACAACTGCAGACTCTAGGGATGGAAATTAGGGGACAGGAGCCAGAGAAGGGGTAGACTTGAAGACTCTGTTCACTGTTTACACTTTT